TCCTGATCAAAAGGGGGAAAATGAGGAACAGAATTTCAAATGCTTGTAGAACCAGACTTACTGAACCCACTGAGACTGGAAGAACTCCTGAATCTAATGCCCTGAGATAATCTTTAAACCTTGAATAAAACTATCCTCTAACATCATCATTAAACCATACAACTGACCACAGTAACTCTAAAGCAGAGATGAGAAGTTTAGCGGGCACAGAATCTAACTCAATAGTGGTGAAACAATTTGGGTAGAGAGAATCAGAATGATGAGACAACATGAAGAATATAACCTATGCCAACGAACTGTACATGTAGAAATTGTTGAATGGGCATATGTTTTGCTGTGTATATTTTCACCAAAAATAAAATAAATATTTAAAAAAATATTCCCACAAAGAAAAGCCCAGGCTCAGATGGTAAATTCTATCAAACATCAAAGGAATAAATAATACCAGTCGTACACAAACTCTTTCAGAAAATAGAGGAGAAAGGAACATTTCCCAAATCATTTTATCAGGTCATCATTACTCTGATAACAAAGTCAAACAAAGATACCAAAAGAAAAGAAAACTACAGACCCCTATCCTCCATGAACATAGGTACAAAAATCCTTACTGAAATATTAGCAAACTGAATCCAAATGACGTGTAAAAACGATTATACACCATAACCACGCGGGATTTATTCCAGGAATGCAAGATTGGTTTACCATCAGAACATTAGTAATGTAATACACAACATTAATAGGATAAAGGACAAGAAAACATACTAATCTCAAGAGATGCAGAAAAAAGCATTTAACGAGATCTGACAACCTTTCAGGCTAAAAATACTCAACAAACTAGGAATAGACTGGAAGGTCCTTAACCTGCCAAAGGACATCTACAAAAAACCTCCAGCTAACATCATACTTCAGACCATGGAATAGGACTCAGATAAAAACAGGACTCACATCAAAAGTCATGAATTACTGATACCTGCAGTGGCATGAATGACCCTCAAAAGCATGCTGAAAGTACCCGTTAAAATACCCGTGGCCAGCGAGTCGATTCTGACTCATAGCGACCCTGTAGCCCAGGGTAGAACTGCCCCATAGGGTTTCCAAGGAGTGGCTGGTGGATTTGAACTGCTGACCTTTTGGTTAGCAGCCCAGCTCAGGCAGAAAAGAGTACGTAGTGTACTTTTATATGAAGTTTTAGAACAGGAAAAGCTAATTTACGGTGATAGAAAGCAGTTCAGCGGTTGCCGGGGTGTGACTGGGAAGGGGTGATGGAAAAGTTGGGTGTGGCTGGGGAGGATGTTCTGTACATCGACTGTGGTGGTGGCTACGCAACTGTATGTGTTGGTCAAAATGTATACAACTGTACACCTAAAAAGAGTGAATCGTATGTAAGTTATACCTTAATAAAGTTGGTATTAAAAAAACCAAACCAAGAAGGTCCCGGTTAGAATGGGTAAAGAATGTAGAACAAAATTCAAATTGAAAGAAAAAAAAAAAGGATCAGACTTACTGGTCTGAGACTGGAGGAACCGCTGAGACTATTACCCTAAGACACCCTTCTAACTTGAAACTGTAGACCCTCCCAGAGACCACCTTTTAGCCAATGATAGACAGGGCCATTAAATAAAGAGTAACATCTGTAAAGAATGTGCTCCTTAGAACAATCGGCCATACGCGACCAAAAGGGCAACTTTTGCCCAAAACCAAAGATGAGAAGGCAGGGAGGGACAGGGAAACTGGACTAATGGAAACTGGGAACCCAGGGAGGAAGTGGGGAGGGTGCTGACACATTGCGGGGATCGCAACCAAGGTCATGAGACAATTTGTATAAGAGTCATTGATTGGAAAATTAATTGGCTCCGTAAACTTCCACCTAAAGCACAATAAAATGTTAAAACCCACAATTTCTCAGTAGTTTAGACCCCGAGTGGTGGAATCATACAGACTTGGCTCTGGTCCTTACTCTGCTGTCTACTTGCTTTGTGCCCTTGAACGAGTAAGTCACTTAGCCTTCTTGTGCTTCAGATTCCCCGTGTGAGAAATAAGAATATCTACCTCACAGGGTGTTTTGAGGACTCACAGGCTAATGAACATCGTGTCTAATGTACAACAGAGATTCACAGATCTTGATCTTTTCCACATCCCCCGGTGCCTGGAACAGGGCTTGACACAGCAGATGCTCAGTAAATGTATGTGAATGAAGCAGTTAATGAAAAAATAAGTGTGGGTTTGTGTCTTATCTAGTGTTGTTATAACAGAAATACCACAAGTGGATGACTTTAACAAGCAGAAATTTAGTCTTTCTCAGTCCAGGAGGCTAGAAGTCCAAATTCAGGGCACCAGCTCCAAGGGAAGGCTTTCTTTCTCTGTAGGCTCTGGAGGATGGTCCTTGTCATCAATTTTCCCCTTGGTCTAGGAGCCTCTCAGCACAGGGACCTCGGGTCCAAAGGATGCACTGTTGTCCTCGATCTTCCTTGGTGGAAGTGAGGTCCCCCGCTCTCTGCTCTCTTCTCTCTTTTATATCTCAAAAGAGATTGACTTAAGACACGATCCAATCTTGTAGATTAGCAACCTCATTAACATCATAGAGGTAGGATTTATCATCACATCAGATGATAAAATGGTGGACAATCACACAATACTGGGAATCATGGCCTAGCCAAGCCACCACACATTTTTGGGGGACACAATGCAATCCATAACAGTCGGAGAAAAATAGTAGGTAACATCAAGAAGGAGAAGAGGAGTGACAGTCATTTGGAAATACCGATTTAGGTGTAGACCTTGAGTCACCCTGAGCCCCTGAGAGAGAATATTATTGGAGGCAGGAAATAGGCTTGAGCACAGGATACAGTCGGCGGGGATAGACAGCCGCTTTTCTGGGCAGAGAATGGTCAGTGCTGGGTCTTAGTATAACAATGACTGGAGGGCAAGGCACAGTGGTCCCCTGGGCTACCCCATGCCAAGGGGCTACCTTACAACAGGTAGGAGGTCACAGGATAAAGGAAGCATAGGATTTCTGTGGCATGAGAGCAGGGAGGTGAATCTCTGCTGCGCTGAACAGAACTGGGACAAGCTGTCAGATTCTCATTGTGTGATTTTATCCTTCAGGGACTTTGCACATGTGTGGACTAATGTGGGAGTCCCAGTGGCACAGTGGTTAAGAGCTCGTCTGCTAACCAAAAGATCTGCAGTTCGAATCCACAAGCCACTCCTTGGAAACCGTATGGGGCAGTTCTACTCTGTCCAATAGGGTCGCTATGAATTGCAATAAGCCCAGGTCCCGCAGTGGTTAAGGCGATGGGCTGCTAACCAAAAGGGTGGCGGTTGGTAAACCATCAGCAGCTCTGCTGGAGAAATCTGTGGCAGTCTGTTTCCGTGGAGATTTACAGCCTTGGAAACCCTATGGGGTCGCTCGGAGTCCGAATCGACTCGATGGTAGTGGGTTTGTTTTGCTTTAATGTGAAGTCTCCCCGGATACCTTCAGCCTCCACACTCTTCCTACAACCCCTCCTTGGGGATCCCACAGCCCCCATCCCGGCCCCACCATTCTGCCGACAACTCCCCCATCCCTGCCTGGACCAATATGAACTGTCGCTGTGTGGCTATGGGTCGGAGAGCACTGTAAGGCAGGACCCGGGGCGCTCCCGGTCACCTTGTGTCGCCTGCACCGTCCAGCGTGGGCGCGGGCCCGGAGGAGGCAGTCAGCCCGCGCTGGTTTGGAGAACGGTTCAGGGAAATGTGAAAATGGAAGTTGGGGGGATTCATACATTACCATGGCCCTGCCAGAGACGCACTCTCACGGGGTGGTCCCAGTCAGAGGGTCGCAAGGGATAGAAGAACGGCCGGCTCTGAAAGGTCTCGAGCCTAGCCGCAGCAGAGCCTGGCGGTCCCACCACCCCACTGCTCCCTGGGGTCAGGTGGAGCCAGGAACCAGACCCGAGCTCCTTGGCCAAGACCGCAACGACCGCAGCGGCCGCCAGGGGGCGGCCTGTCACACCCTGCGTGGCGTTCGGGCTCCAAAGCTCAGAGTGAGGGGAGTCTAGGGACCCCACGTTCAGTTCTCGAACGCTGCCCCGGGCGGGGTCTTCCCTGCCACCTCGCTGAGCGTGCGGGGCTGGGGGGCTCACCTGGTCCCTTGCCTCCTCCTCCGACATTCGGTGGGGCCTCAGCGACCTCCCTGGAACCTTGAAGGTAACCAGCTGGTGCTGGGGGTGGGTGGAGCCTCTATCCTTGAGCGCCCGACAGAATCACCGGGGCCGGGGTCTTGGGGGTCGCGGGGTTAGCCGAGGTGGCAGAGGTGCGGTAATGGGGCTGGCTACGGCGGCGGGAGCTGGGAGCCGGGAGCCTGGCCCTTCTCGCCTCCGCTCCCGCTCGGCCAAGCCTGAGAGCGCGTCTGGCCCGAGGCGCCTGGCCAGGGGCTGGCCCCACCCCAGAGCCGAGCGGAGAGGCCCGGGGAGAACCGGGAGGCTGAGACGCGGATGGGGCCGGGGCACGGGAAGCCTGCGAGTGTGGGGTCTCGGAGACACCAAGAGCGTGGAGACCCTCGGAAGGCGCGTTCCACATCCCCCGCCTTTTTTTTACATATGCACCCATTTTGGGGTCCGTTAAATCCGCGGTGGGGATGCCGTTGGATGGCTGGAGGCCCCTCCGTTTTGCATCAGATCACCCCCAACCTCTCCAGATAAGCTCTGATGTGGTAGATAACCTCAGGCTTGCTTGGCCAAGTGCAGCATCCAGACAAGCCGTCGACCCATCCCCATACCAGATCGCAAGCCTGCTATGGCCTTCCCCTACAGAAATTGCCCAAGCAGATTTCGGTTCCAATCCCGCCTCTGCCAAGGATTCGCTGTGTGACATTGAGTTAGTGTCTTCACGTCTCTGAGCTTCAGTTTGCCTCATCTGCATAAAGGGACACAGACACAGATCAGGGGCCCTGGGGGCAAGGCTTTATTTGTCATCCAAAGGCCCTGGACCCCGCCCGTGCCTTCCCTGTTCTTTCTGGCTCAGAAGATCCGCACCGACTCCAGCTGCACGTCCCCGCCCACCTCCAGCAGGCGCACGCTCGCCAACGGCATCCGGTGCCGGAACAGGTGATATTCCGAGTCCCCGACCACGACCTGGAGTGTCAAGGGGTCCATGGTTAAGATTCCGGAGGCTGACTACGCGGGTTCACATCCGACTCTGACACTCGCTGTGTGACCCTGGGCAAATCACTTAACCCCTCTGGGCCTCGGTTTCCCCGTCTGGAACACGGGGCTAATGTCGATTCTAACCTCTTGTTTTAAGGATGAAGTGAGCTTACTGTTTGGCACGTAAGTGTTTTTTAAGTGTTGCTGGTTGATGCTGTTATTATTAGGGCGTCCGCTATAAAAGAGGTGACCTGTATGGGAGGGGTTGGAAGTGACCCCATCCCTGGGACGTCTTTCGAGGCTCTGTCTCCCAACCCATCCTTTCCCCTACCTCAGAGCCCTTACATGAGGCATGGGGCGGGGTAAGGGATGGCCAGTCTGGGGGCCACATCCCCTGCTAGGACACCGCTTTGGCACTCCTCCTTGCTCATCTCGTCCTGGCCCTGTTGCACAACCGCCCCTCGGGTGCTGGTCCAGGTAGGAAGAGGGGCTGGGGATGTCCCTTCCCCGCCTTGGCCACGCCTTTGCACTCCACTCCCACCCGATAGGCCATCAGCGCTCTTCCACCGCAGCACCGCCCCCGATCCTTTGCCTGAGGGACCCGGCCTTGGCTCCCACGCCCCTGTCGCAGTCCCACCTTGAAGCCGTCCTCGGAGGTGATGAGGAGCACTTCGAAGGGCTGGCCGCGGTAGAAGGGAACACCGTGGCCGCGCTCCTCGATGCCCCAGGCGCCCTGCTTCTTGCTGTTGAAGACCACCTCGGACGTGTCCATCCGGGGATTGAAATGCAGGGCGGCGTTGGCGTCCTGCGCCTCGCTACACAGCAGGTTTACATAGAACCTATAGGCGGTGGGCATCAGGAACTGAGAACCCGCTCAGACCAAGGTCAAGGGCCAGTGATCGGGGACCTCCTCATTTCCAGAGCACCCCTACATTAACAGGGCCCTGAAACTCTGGTGGCGCAGTGGTTAAGAGCTTGGCTGCTAACCCAAAAGGTCAGCAGTTCAAATCCACCAGCCACTCCTTGGAAACCCTATGGGGCAGTTCTACTCTGTCCTATAGGGTCTCGATGAGTCAGAGTTGACTCGATGGCAAAGGGTTTGGTGTTTTGGGTTTGAAGCCATCAGACCCTAGGGAGGGAAGTGTGCCGATGGCCAGGGAGCCTGGATTTCCAGGGCATCCAAAGATTTACTGGGGGCCTGGGCACATATCCACCCAGACCAAGGTTCCCCTCATTTCATTTCCAAAAGGTCTGGGACCTGCCAAGACATGGTATTGATGAAGGATACCCCCAAGTCACAAGAGCCCGCTATTCCCAGAGAACTAGGAACAATAACCAGGGACCCCAATATTTCCAGGGCACACTTGATTCCCAGAAGGCTTAAGTTCCCCAGGCCCACAAAGTCATAGGATTGCTTGCCAAGGACTCTCAGATGCCCAGGGCACCCCCGAAAAAACCAAACTGGTTACCGTCGAGTCAATTCTGACCCATAGCAACCCTAAAGGACGGAGTAGAACTGCCCCACAGGGTTTCCAAGGAGCGGCTGGTGGATTTGAACTGCCGACCTTTTGGTTAGCAGCCGTATCACTTAATCACTGCTCCACCAGGGCTCGTTCACAATCACCAGGCACCCCCATATTTCCAGAGTTCATAGGGAGCTAGACTCAGAAATCATAGAAACCCTAAGATTCCCCTGGAACACCCAAATTCTTAGAAAGACTTACGGACCCAAGCTACTAGTCATGGGGTGAATACGTGGGGATGCCCAATTTCAGCAGGTCAGGAGTGGCCTGGGAAGGCCAAGACTCTAGTGGACAGAGATGGCCCTGGAGACCCCTAATCTCTGGGCTGCAAGAACTCCAGGGCAGCTGGGCCTGGGAGGACACCCCACCCCTCACGGTTGGAGTTTGAGGCCTCACCTGCTAGCGTTATGGGGAACCAAACCGCGGATTCTCAGCACGGCGCTTGCGCGGATACCTTCGGGCAGGGAGATCTTGTAGGGGACAGTCTGCAAGAGGAGAGGTGTGGGGGTGTGTGTGTGATAAACCAGGGAGAACCAGAGACAGAGACAGCAGGTGGGTCACAGACAGGGAGAAAAAGAACGGGACAGAGACCCGCAGAAAACAGAACGACAGGACGGAGAGAAAGGGAAGAGACCAGAGAGGGGGAGAGATGGAGAGAGAAAGTGAGAGAAACACAGAAAAACAGACAGAAAAAATGTTCAAATATGGAGACACCAAGAGGAAGCCACAAAGAGAGAGATGGGGAGAACCGGGATGGGGGTAACCCAGAAGCCCCCGACCGTTCACAGCGTGCCCAGACCCCCTTTCTCCCTTGCCACGGGAGACCTCAGTCAGCCCCAGCCCACTCCCCAGCGTGGCCCAGCCCAACACCATAATTCCGCCTGTCCCCCTGGCTCCTGCAGCACTTACGAAGCTCTCCGCCATGGCTGGGACAAGTGAGACCAGCAACGGTGAGTGGCAGGTATGGCGGGGAGGCCCTTAAGAAAAAGCAGGATGGGGCTGGCCAGGGTGACTCACCCCCTCCGCGCCCACACCTGGCACAGACCCCGGCCCTGAGGGCAGTTTGGCACATCACCTTGTCCTGGGATCTCTGGCCCCCTCCACTCACCAGGGCTTCCTAAGCATGTTACCACTTGTCCTGGGAGCTAATAATAACAGTGACAGTAACAATGACAGTAATAACAGAGAGTGCTCATGGTGCCACCGCCCAGCCAGTCCCATCTTCCCGCTGCCTGGCAGAGAGAAACACTATGCCCATTTCATACGTAGAAAAGTTGGGTCCTGAGAAGCCAAGCTGGGGACTGGGACTCTGGTCCCCTCTCCCGCTGTAGAACCTCATGCCTAGAGCTGAGGATCTGTCTTCATCCAAATCCCAGCTTCCGCCTCTGTAATAATAATAATAACCATGGCACCACCACTAATAATAGGATTTGCGTTCCAAGGGGGCAGGAACGTTCGCCTGATTTGTTCACTGCTGGAGCCTAGGTGCCTAGAGCCGTAAATACGGGTGAAATGAAGCACTAAAAGAAATAACAACAGCTTCCGATCCCTAAACCTCTGGGCCTGCCCGGGATATGCAAGAAATCATTGTTGCTCGCAGCAAGTCCAGGAGGGAAGGGCAGTGATCAACCCCATTTTACAGATGAGGAAACTGAGGCTCAGAAAACCAAAACCCGTTGCCGTGGAGTCGATTCCGACCCATAGCAACCATATAGGAAAGAGTAGAACTGACCCCATAGGGTTTCCAAGGCTGAAATCTTTAGGGAAGCTGACTGCCACGCCTTTCTCCCGAGGAGTGGCTGGTGGGTTCGAATCGCTTGCCCACCTTTCGGTTAGCAGCTGAGTTTAACCACTGCACCGCCAGGGCTTCTGAGGCTCAGGCAGGGGAAGCAATTACCTCTGGCTTTCTTCATCTCTCTCTCTGTGTCCCCATCTACCCCTGTCCTAGTCCCTCCTTCCTGAGCTGCTCCCACCATCCCCCTAAGATTGCAAGGGGTGGAGGGATGTCCTAGGGCCCACCTACAACCCAACCCAAAAAAGAGAACAAAGTGGGGACCCTCCATCCAGCCTCATTTCCAGCCCCCATAGGAATCTAGGAAGGGGGGAGGGGATTGAGTTGGTGAGGGAAGGTTCTGGAAGGCATGGGTGAGGCAGGGCATGGGAGCCGCACAGAAACCACGCCTAGCTGTCTTTCCCAGAACTTTCCACATCTCCACCCTCACTCGCCTCCCCCAGCCCCACCCAGCAGATGGGAGAGAGTTCTGGGGCAGAGGCAGGCTGGGGAATGGAAAGTTTGGGAGCAGACAAGCAGACACAGAACCTGCCCCACCCCCCGCCTCCCAGACTCTCTTGCCTGCCCCTCACCCCACACACAGAGGCACCCATGGTGGTGTGGTTCACGGGAGCTAGGGCCTCTGAGGAGTCCCTGGGTGTTGCAACTGTTATGGTGCTCGGCTGTTAACCCAGAAGAGCCTCAGAAGAAAGCCTTCGTGACCTACTTTGGAAAAATCAGCCCTTGAAAACCCTACAGAGCACAGTTCTACTCTGACACTCATGGGGTCGCCATGAGTTGGAATTCACTAGAAGGCAACTGGTTTAGTGCCTCCGAGAGGGAGGCTGGGCAGCTGCATTGAAGTGGAAGCTGCAAGCACCCCCATTTTGCAGAGGAGAGAATGAAGCTTAGAGATGAGCATGCTCAGCCAAGGCCACAGAGTAAGGAAGTAACTAGGGTCTGTGTGTGATGGTCTCAGCATCGTGGCAATAGACATGACAACAGAGTGTTTTACACCACCACCAGCTCAGACTCGATGCAGTTAGTTCTGGTGAATTATTCCTTAAAAATAAGACTTTCCTTAAATTTTTGTTCCTATTCCATATATTGCAACTGTATCTCTCAGTGACTCATCTTTTTTTCTTGTTTCGTGTGTTTCTTCACTGTGGCTTGATATTTCTTCACAAGCAGCCAGGCTGCACAGTCCCAACTTGCCTTTGGTGATAGGCCAAATTTTTGCATTCACTCTTTTATCAGTTTTAAAACCTTGGTCATTTCTTGTAAGTCTGGTAAGTGCATCCTTGAATTCGTATTCATTTGGGCTTATTATCTTTTTATCGGTTCTGAAATAATACTTCTGTGAGCACTGTTTTCATTTGCAAGTAATTAATGAATGCACTTATTTTCCAATACTCTTTCTTAATTGAGGTATAATTTGCATTAAATAAAATGTGCAGATTTTAACGGGTTAGTTTGTGAGTTTTGACAATTGTATACCAGTTGCTGCCGAGTCACTTGTGCTCGGCTGCTAACCCAGAGGTGCCTCAGAAGAAAGACTTGGCAATCTACTTTTGAAAAATCAGCTCTTGAAAACCCTATGGAGGTGACCCCATGTGTGTCAGAGTAGAACTATGCTCCATAGGGTTTTCGAGTTTCCAGTGGCTGATTTTTCAGAAGTAGGCGTTTCTTCCAAGGTGCCTCTGGGTGGACTCGAACCTCCAACCTTTCAGTTAGCAGCCAAGTGAGTTAACTGTTTGCACAACCTAGGAACTCCGACAAATGTATGATGTTGTTGTGAGCTGTCTTTGAGTCAGTTCTGACTCATGATGACCCCATGTGTGCAGAGTAGAACTGCTCCATAGGGTGTTCAAGGCTGTGACCTTTTGGAAGCAGATCGCCAGGCCTGTCTTCTGAGGCACCTTTGGGCAGGTTCAAATTGCCAACCTTTTGGCTAGTACTCGAGAGCTTAACTCTTTGCACCACCTGGGGAACCTGACATATGTATACCAAATCAAAATCCAAACCCATTGCTGTCAAGTCGATTCTGACTCATAGCAACCCTATAGGACAGAGCAGAACTGCCCCATAAGGTTTTCAAGGCTGTAAATCTTTACAGAAGCAGACTGCTACATCTTTCTCCCACTGAGCAGCTGGTGGGTGCAAACTGCCACCAACCTTTCAGTT